TTAGGAGTGACACCTGAATTTTCCTTTGGGAACCAATCCGCCTTCATCCTCAGTTTTGGGGCTTCCAGCTCTACCCTCAGTTCTAGGGCTGGCCAGTCAGAAAGCATGGTAACTCCAGATCACAGCCATTAGTTCAGGGATAAGCATATACATGTTTGGCCAATCAGAGTCTGCCTTGGGACTTTTGCCAGAACTTTTGGGAAAGAGACCCCTTCTTCCCACTGGTGTCACCAGGAATGCAAGCCCGGAGATGTTGTTGGCCATCTTTGTCACTGCTTGGGGAGAGTCTGCCTGAGAACGAAGCCTACACACAGGAAAAGTGAAACAAACAGGGAAAGAAGGAGGGAGGGATGCTGCGGGGGTCAGATATTCCCTGTCGAGCCTCACCTCCTGGTATGCATGCTTTGTATAGTCTCTTCCCACACCAAGTAGAAGTCAGAGATGTTCTTCGTATCCAAGAGAATATGGAGGAAGCCCAGGTCATAAAAAGGCCTTGGTTTCCTGGATTGCTCCCTCTAGGAGAAGCAACTACCGTGTTGTGAGGTCACTCAAGCAAGCCTACAGAGAGGCCCATGTGAAGAGTAAGTAAAATCACCAGCCAACAACCAGAGCCAGTCTGAATGGGCCACTTTGGAAGTAGACACTGCAGCCCCAAATGACACTGGTCTGCAGCGTCATGGCAGACCTTAAGCCAGAACATTCAGCTCAGTTGTTCTGAGTTGTTGTTGTTTTTTTTTTTTAAGGTGTAATTGATTCTTGAACTTCAGAAACAGTGAGAAATGATAATTGGTTATTGTTTTAAACCATAAATGTTTGGGTGATTTGTTACCCAGCAATTGATAACTAATGCAGATGGACTGATTCCTAATGACTCACCCCAACCCTCAGCTGAGGCAGAAGTGGGAATGTGATCCATACCTAGCCAATCAGAATACTGCCTCTCTCTGCCCTCAGTGATTTGTTCAAAATGAGCACCTGACCCAAATCAGACCAGTCAGAGGCAACCCCAGGATTTTTGCTGGAATCTTCAAGGTAGAGGCTTTCTCCTCCCATAGAAGTTGCCTCATTGGGGTGCCTGGGTGGCTTAGTCATTAAGTGTCAGTGTTTGGCTCAGGTCATGATTCCAGGGTACTAGGTTGAGTCCCACATCGGGCTCCCTGCTCAGCAGGAAGCCTGCCTCTCCATCTCCCACTCACCCTGCTTGTGCTCCCTCTCTCGCTGTGTCTGTCTCTGTCAAATAAATAAATAAAATCTGAAAAAAAAAAAGTTGCCTCATTCGTAAAAAGTGAGCATGGGGCTGCTGGCAGCCATCTTTAACATCTTAGAGAGTAAACCCAAGAATGAAGACAATGCAGATTAAAAGCAAAGTCAGAATATGGGAAAGACAAATTTTAAGTGACACTATTTGAGACCTGGGATCCAAAAGACACATAAAATCAGAACTACCACCTCTTCTTTTCAGTTACTTGAACCAGTAGATTCCCTTTTTTTTTTTTTGCCTAAGCCAGTTTTAGTCATAACCAGAAGTCCTGTTGCAAGACTTCATGTATTGTTACCAGGAAGTTCCTAAAACAAAACAAAACAAAACAAAACAAAACAAAACAAAACCTCTCACAATCAATCTGTAAGTCAGTAGTTTTAAGTAGGGAAATAATGACCGTAGAAGCAGGGACTGGAAGAAAAAAACCAGCAGTGAACTTGAATCAGAGTGTGACTGTGGGTCAGGGGCTCAGCTTCTATTAAGCTTTTTAAATTTTTAAAAAATATTTTAAAAAGATTGTGTTTATTTATTTGACAGAGAGAGAGAGAGAGATCACAAGTAGGCAGAGAGAGAGGAAGGGAAGCAGGCTCCCCGCTGAGCAGAGAGCCCGATGTGGGGCTTGATCCCAGGACTCTGGGATCATGACCTGAGCCGAAGGCAGAGGCTTTAACCCACTGAGCCACCCAGGTGCCCCAAAGCTTTTTTAAAAAATTTCAAGTTAGTTAACATATAGTATAGTATTGATTTTTGGAGTAGAATTTAGTGATTCATCACACATGTATAACACCCAGTGCTCATCAGAACAAATGGCCTAGAGTCCACCACTCATTTAGCCCATCACACCACCAACCTTCCCTCCAGCAGCCCTCAATTTGTTCTCTATTGTTAGGAGTCTCTTACGGTTTGCCTCCCCCTCTTTTTTTTTTTTTAAGATTTTATTTATTTATTTGAGAAGGATACAGAGAGAGAGAGAGAGAGAGAACATGAGTAGGGGGGAAGGGGCAGAGGCAGGGGGAGAAGCAGACTTCCCGCCGAGCAAGGAGCCCCATGTGGGACTCAAACCCAGGACTCCAGGACCTGCACCGAAGACAGACCCTCAACCGACTGAGCCACCCAGGCACCCCTCCCTCTCTGTTTTTATCTTATTTTATTTTTCTTTCCGTTCCCCTATGTTCACCTGTTTTGTTTATTAAATTCCACATGAGTGAAATCATATGGGATAATCAGATGGTATTTGTCTTTCTCTGACTGGCTTATTTTGCTTAGCCTAATACACTCTAGTTCCAACCATGTTGTTGCAAATGGCAAGATTTCATTATTTTTGATGGTTGAGTAATATTCCTGTGTGTGTGCGTGTGTGTGTGCATGTGTGTGTATGCACGCGCGTGCAGGCATGCATCACTTTTTTTTTCTTTTGGAGAGGAAGAGAGAGAGAGAAAAGGATGGGGGGGTGCAGAAGGAGAGGGAGAGAGACAAACTTAAGCAAGCTCCATGCCCAGTGCATAGCTGGATGCAAGGCTCAATCTCACTACCCTGAGATCATGACCTGAGTCAAAATCAAGAGTTGGGGGCTTATCCAACTGAGCGACCTGGGAGCGCCCCCACATCTTCTTCATCCATTCATCAGTCAATGGACATTTGGGCTCTTTCCATAATTTGTCAGCCTCTATGAACCTTAACCACCACACCTCTCTAGGGAGGGAGGGACACTCACTGCCTGGCCAGCTTGTTGAGATGGCTGAATGGGGATGCACTTGAAAGGGCAGAGCCTGGGGGCACCTGGGTGGTACAGTCCTTAAGTATTTGATCCTTGTTTCCAGCTCAGAGTCCTGATCTCAGCAGAGTCTGCTTAAGACTCTTTCTCTCCCTCTGCCTCCCCCCAACCCTGCCCCTGCAATCTCTCTCTCAAATAAATAATAAGTCAGGAAGAAAGAAAGAAAGAAAGAAAGAAAGGAAGGAAGGAAGGAAGGAAGGAAAGAAAGAAAGAAAGAAAGAAAGAAAGAAAGAAAGAAAGCAAGCAGAGCTTCGCATATGGTTAGGACTCAATTTACAGAAATTTGCGAAGAAACTTTCCCATATAGACACACTCCCCCTTCTCAGCAGTTTCTACACATCTGCCCCAGTTCTTCCTGAACATCTGGATGTCTTCCAACAAATTATACTAGAGCAGAAAGGCACCGTTCTCTTGCCCTGGCTTCCATCTTTGTACAGCTAGGGCATGGGTCTATGGGATAAGAAGTCAGAAGCCATCAGGCTCCTGCTCACAGATGTCTGGATACCCACACACAACACCCCACTTCTCTCTCATAGAGACTTGGGGCATAAATTTCAAAAGGTGGCAGAACTGCCTGTTCAAAGACAAGTTTAGGGAATCAGAAAGTACTCAGCCTATCATTCTTCACTCCTCCTCAGTTGGTGGCACCGTTTTTCTCCGTTATTCAGGCTGTCACCATGGAACCTTTGTACAAATGGAAGCCACTCCTTCCTCCAGACTAGTGCTATCTGGCAGAACTTTCTGTGATGATGCAGATATTCTCTGTATACGGTACACGTGTGGTACACGGTAGCCACACGTGTCTATTGGATCTCCTCAAATGTCACACCCTAAGACCATTATCCCCTCACACTTTAGTATTTTGTATATTAGTATTTTGTCTTAATGTCTTAATTGCACTTATCACTCTCTGCGACCATCCTGTTTGATTATTTATAGGACTAACCTTTACCACCCTTCTAGCCTGTAAGCAGAGAGCTTGGCTGACACTACTCTTTTCCCCAGCACCGGATTCAATGCCTGGCACAAAGCGAGGGCTCTGAATTTTTGGATGAATGAATGGATAGGGATCAGAGAAACCTGGCTGAACTCGGCTCTGCCTTACTCTTACTCGCTCAGTTTAGGCAAGTCTCCGTTTTGTGTTGTGTGAAGTGGGAGCGGAGCGAGTAGGATGTTGGCCTTGTTTTCTTCCAAGCTTCTGGCCTCTAGCCAGCTGCTGGACTTCTGCTCACCACCTGTATAATGGGTGTGAGCTCACCCCAACGTCTCGGGGTGGTAGCGCTGCCTTATAAGGCAGCAGAGCCCAGGGCGGGCGAGGCCGTGTGGGTGGAGAGAAATCACAACATCCGGCAGCAGGGGCGGGGCGGGGGCCCGGAGGCCGAGGAGCCGCTGGGGAGGCCAACCACCTCCTCGGGTCCTCTCCCCGCTTCCGATGTGCGCTCTCCAGAAGGGGCCAACCCAAAGGAATACGGCTGAACACATGGCTCAAAACAGTTCGAAGCCGGCCCGCAGGAGGCCCAAGACAGCAAACCTTCGTAAAGCCCAGGGTAGTCACAGGGACCCGGGCCACACCATCTGCCCCAGTTAAAGTGCAGCGAAAAGAAGGACTGACGCCCCTTTTATCCAATTAAACATCCGGCCTCCGGGGCGTGACCCAGAGGCCCCACCTCTGTTGTCCTGGCAGAAGGCTCGGCCCTAATTGGCAGTTGGCTGTCCTACCAAGGCCCAGAAATTCGAACCTAGGGGCTGAACCCCACCTCAGACCAACCAGGAAGAGGTGACGTATAAAGTCCCGCCTGCCTGCTCCTTTGGGCGAATCCCTGGCTCGGAAGGCGGGGGTTAATAAAGAGGCTGTCTAATGGGAAGACGGCGCGGGGAGCACCCGCCTGGTTACTGGCCGCGTAAAGTAAACAGAGGGCAGGGCTGGGCGGGCCGGCACCCGGGTGGCCCCCAAGAGGGGGCGGAGTGTGCGCGGCGGGCGGCGGCGGCCGGGGAGGCCCGGGAGGCCGCGGCGCGGTCACTGCGAGCCGAGCCGAGCCGCGCCGATCGCCCTCCGGCCCCGGCTCCCGCGAGCGATCCCGGCCGGCGGCGCGGCCCGGCGGGCCCGGCGGCGCCGCAGCCCATGGAGCTCGAGAACATCGTAGCGAACACGGTGCTACTCAAGGCCCGGGAAGGTGAGGCGGCCGGGTGCGGGGAACACGGGCGCGAGGCCTCCGAGCTCGGCTGGGCGCCCCAGTCTCCAGATCCCGCAGGGCAGCGCGCTCCGCGCCCCGCACCCAGCGCAGAGGCGAGCCCTTCCGGCCGGTCGTCCTCCGCACCTGCCCCGGGGTGCCGCGGCCCAGGAAGGGGCGGGGGTCAGGCCACCGCCCTCGCGGCGCGGGCGTGAGGGGGGGTGCGGTGAGGGAAAGAGAGAGGAAGGAAGAGGGAAGGGTGGGACCTGGGTCCTTGGAGAGCCTCTCTGAGGCCTGTCCCAGGTGATAGGTGAGAAGATGCCCCAAGGAAGAGTAGCCTATCCCACGTGTCTCAGGCCCAGACCCTAGCGCCCAGCCTGGATCCGCACAAAGTTGGTGCAGGATTAAGGTTGGAGAATGAATGAGCGGAGCCACTACGGTACCACAGCCCACCTGGTTTGGGGGTAACTGCTGGTCACATAGGTTGCTTTGTGCTTCAGGACACTGGGGACAGAGGTGAATGGGTCATGATTTTTGTCCTCAGGAAGCCCACGGTTTAGTGGGCTAAACGGGCACAGAAATAAGTGGGAGCTGTGTTTTGAAAGCAGAGAGCATGTAGGGCTGGCAGGACTTAGTGCAAGGCCTGGCAGAGGGAGCAAGTGTGGTGAGTGTGTACCAAGCTTCTCAGGACTTCCGCCCCAAATGTTAGGAGACACCTGCTCTCTGAAGGTCCTGGGGGACACAGAGGACCAGACCAGGTCCTCACTGCCTTCTGGTCAGTTTGGCCCTAACCTGCCATGGTCCACCTCAGTAACATAATCACGGAACACTCATTCTGTGCCCTGTCCCGTCTAGGGTGCTGGGGACCAGCGGTGAACAAGACCCTTCTTTTTTGAACTCTAGGGCAGGGAGGTCATGACATGGTCATTTTCCACTCTTTGCTGGGCTTCCAGGCTGAGTCATCTGCTTCACTTTTCTGCTCCATTTTACAGATGGGAAACAGGCTCAGACTAGGGACTAGCCCCCAAGTCATACAGTGAGACTGTGGTTGACCCAGGCCTAGGACACAGGATGTCCCCAATATAGTCTGAAGGCAGCCCAGAGGAGCCCTCAAATGGCACAGCATCTGGTACCCCCTGCCTGCCTAGTGTGTGTTGCCCCCTGGGAGGTGCTGCCTGGAAGTAGGCATGGCAGGCTGGGTTCTTAGTGCCCAAAGCCTTCCTTATCTCCTGTCCCTTATCGAGTCTCAGGGCTAGGCCTTCCTTCTAGCCTCTGGGGGCATCTGCCGATTCTGTTCTGCCTCGTCATCTAGCCAGCTAGGGAGGAGGGGTGGGGAGAGCCTGGCCAGGCCTTCCTCCCTAGGGCTGTAGCCAGTTCGGGCCTCAGGCCTGCTGGGAGCACTGCCTTGACTGGCTGGAGAGTGTGGCACCTCAGGACAGGCTTCCTCAGGCCTGGGTGAGGTGTCGTGGGGTATGGCCAGACCTGGACTGCTGCCTTCCCTGGAGAGCCCATACCCAACCTGGTTCTGCCCCTCCCACCTGCATGGTTCTAGACAACCTTTTTGGGGAATGGTTGGGGATGGGACATGAAAACTAAAAGAAATCCCTGTTGTCACTGAGCCCTAAACCCTGGCCCATAGACTGGTGGCATTGGAATCCCTTCATTAGCTGGCTGATAGCTTGGGGCCTGGCCTTTGCCACCTCCCCAAGGGGTCTGAGGCCCTGAGTGGTTTGGGAGCCCTCAGATGGCTGGCATGGCATGTTTGGGGTGGGGAGGAAGCATGGGTTGTGGTCCTAGGGAGCTGGGTTTGAATTCTGCTTCTGGCACCTCGAGGCTTGGTTATCTTGGACAAATTAATTCCTCATTTCAAGGCCTCCATTTTCTCATGAGGTTGTACCTAGTGTGGCAGCATTGCTGAGGATGAAGTGGGGCAGCACTGGTGGGGGGAAGTGGGGAACAAGCCCTTGTTTAGTCCTCCTTCCTTGCCCAGGCACCCAGAGGCACAGGGAGGGGGCCAGCCTAGGCCAGGGAGGAGTCCCACTGACTCTTGGTGGCAGTTCAGGACAGGATATTTGCATGTGACTCTTGCTGCTGCCTTGATGTGGCTGGGAGGAGGGGGAGGAGGAAGTAACTGGTGGGGGGAGGCCAGCAGATGGAGGGTTGGGTGAGGGACCTGTGGGGGTGGGGGAGGAGTTCCCCTTCTGGGGAGGCCTTGCCCAGGCTTGGGGGTGGGGGTCTGTTGCTCATTCACAGTGGAGCAATGACTGTGGAGTACGCTGGGTGCAGGCTGCTGCAGGGCTGCTAGTGGGTTTCCCAATGGGTGTCCTGCAACATTTCCTCCTCCAGGCGGCTTAGGTCACAGAATCCAGGGAGGCACCCAGCTCTGCCCCATCCCTGGAGCAGCCCCTTCCCCTGTGCCACCTGCCTTCAGTCAGGCCAGATGAAAATAAGGCTGGCTAAACCGAGGGGAAACTGAGACCAGGCAGGGTAAAGTGGCTGCCTGAGCTTGACATGAGTTGTTGGAGCCGAGGCCCTCCTCTTGCCCCAGCCCTGCAGAGTACTAGACACAGACTGCCCCTGTCACCCTGACAACACTCCTGGAGGCAGCTTTGGATCCAAAATACCTATGAGGATATTGAGGTCCATAGAGGGCAAGTGATGGGCCTTAAAGTGTGAATTAGAGATTCAGACCTTTGTGGGGCTCCAAGACTTGGGCCCTTCCATTTTCAACCTCCCGGCCCAGGGGCCACATCTGGCTAGCTCTTTATCAGGTTTCATTCATTTGGCTGCAGTGGGTTTTTACAAAAAATACAAACCAGTATTTCCCGTAACAGTCCAGATTCCCAGATTCCCAGCTAGCCACACTGAGCCTGCATTCCTGCCTGGCAACAACCCAGGCATGCACGGCCCAGTTCACCACACTCCCCACCACTCCCTATTGTCTCCCACCTGGCCCACATTTACTGTCCCGTCTGGCTCTGTAGGCACCTGGGCTTCTACTCTGGTCTCAGCAGCTACAGGTAGGGAGTCAGCTGGGTAAAATGAGGCAGGTATCAGAGCCACGGAAACCCTTGTGTACTGAAGTGGGCACCCTGAATGCCAGCCCTCTTGCCACCACATTGTTTGAGTCTGATAGTTCTGGTACAGGGCCAGGTAATAGGGACCTGAAGCCTTCCCAGGGACCCAGGCTGCCCTGTGCCTCTGGCATGTCTCAGGCGTGTCCCACATGTCCTGGAGTCTCTTCCTTCTGTGCCTTGACTTACCTAGTTCCCACCACTATTATGTCCTCCCTCTACTTTCTTCTCCTGGGAACCTCTTACCTGGTAGGAAGCAGCTAAGGCTTCCTGGAAGCCCCCCCTCCATACACACCATCCCCATCCCCTACTCCCAGTGGCCTGTCCCTGCTACCCTCTTGGCTCTTCCGGCTCAGGACTCCCCCCCACCACGAGCAGGAAGGCCCAGGGGACTGTGTGTGTCCTGGAGTCCAGCAAAGGCATGCTGGTGCATGTGGGATGAAGACCTGAGGTGCCTCCTAGAGTGGGCTGAGCCCAGAAGGCCTCCGGATGCCCTGTGTGGGGAGGGAAGTGGGGTGGCGGTGGGACTGGAGACCCAGCGCCCGTTTGCTCCCACAGGTGGTGGTGGGAATCGCAAAGGCAAAAGCAAGAAATGGCGACAGATGCTGCAGTTTCCCCACATCAGCCAGTGTGAAGAGCTGCGGCTCAGCCTCGGTGAGGCCTGGGTGGAGACTCGGGGGTGCTGGGGAGAGCCTCCCCTGAGACCTCAGCCTGGGGCAGGCAGGGTTGGGGGGTTCTGGGGAGCAGGAAGATTGAGGCTGCACCACCCAACCCAGTTTCAGTTCCTGGGCTTGAGATGGGTGGAGAACACAGTGCAAACAGGACAGCAGAGGTGGTTGGGTGGGTGGGTGGTGGGAGTAGGGCAGGGTCAGATTTGGGACAGTCTGAGAGAAGCAGAGGAAAGGAGGGTCAGGCCTAGGGTTTGAGGGACAGAGGGCACAGCGGAGGCTGGAGCCAGCCCAGAGGGGGACTGTGTGAGGATCCCCAAGCCCATGTTTAGCACAGGCCACCTCAGAGTGGTATGAGTGGCAGGTGTGGGGGAGGGGGCAGCAAAACCTAGACCAGAAGGGCCAGGACCCCTGCTTATCTTGGCTGAGGCCCCAGGTCTGCACAGCACCCAAGGTTACCTAGGCCCCTCTGACAGCCCGCACGTGGGCAAGGAGTATACCATGGCTGCTTCCACGGCCTAGGAAGGAGGCCCAACCTCGAGCTCGCCGGAAGCCACAGCTTCCTCCTGCACTTTCGCCAGGCAGGCAGCAGGTTTGGGCCTAGCTTGGGTCTGGCCGGAACCTCACAAACCACACCCAAACCCAGCACTGTGACGTCTGTAGCTGGTGTGAACCAGGAGATAGCAGGTGGAGGTGAGGGCCTAGCTCTGGGGCCATACTGCTGGCTGTGTGACCTTGAGGTAATGACTTGGCTTCTCTGGGCCTCAGAGTCCCAAGCTATGATGGAAATAAGAGTAATGTCGGCATACCTGGGTGGCTCAGTTGGTTAAGTGTCTGCCTTTGGCTCAGGTCATGATCCCAGGGTCCTGGGATGGAGTCCCACATCCAGCTGTCTGCTCAGCAGGGAGTCTGCTGCTCCCTCTGCCTGCCACTCCCCCTGCTGTGCTTGCTCTCTCTGGCAAATAAATAAATAAAATCTTTAAAAAAAAAAACAAAAAGAGTAATGCCCACCTCAGTGTTGTGGTGAGGGTTCTAAAGGAGATAATGGCTTCCATACTACAGGGCTGGAAGCTGCTACTGGGGCTCAGGGCCTGGTGGTATGGACTGGAGGGCCCCACTGGCAGGCTCCAGGTCTGGGAACCCAGTAGCTCCTACCCCTGCTTGCAGAGCGTGACTACCATAGTCTGTGCGAGCGGCAGCCCATCGGGCGCCTGCTGTTCCGTGAGTTCTGCGCAACGAGGCCCGAGCTGACCCGCTGCATTGCCTTCCTGGATGGAGTGGTGAGTGCAGCCCAGGCCAGCCCCGAGGGTGGGCAGGGGCCCCTAGGCCAAGTGTGTTCCATCTCCCCACACCTGTTGTTCTGCCCGGACCCAAAGCTTCCCTGCCTTCCACCCTGCAGGCCGAGTATGAAGTGACCCCCGACGAGAAGCGGAAGGCCTGTGGGCGGCGACTAGTGCAGAATTTTCTGAGCCACACGGTGAGTGAGCAGTGATGAGGGAGGACAGCAGTGGGCAGAGCTCAGTGATGGGGAGAGGAATGACTACAGCCTGGGCAGAGAGTGCTCTGGAGCTAGTCCAGGTTCACCAGGCAGACCTCAGGCAGAGAGCCCAGGAGGGTGGGCCAGGCCGGGCAGTCTGCCAAGGGCTCTGCTTCACCCTGCCTCAAGGGTAGCATGGAACTGAGTCCAGCAACTGGGCAGGCTGGCACAGCACTCGCCTACAGCAGGCCAAGGGAGCCCCCTGCACTGACCGCTTTATTGCCTGTCCCTAGGGTCCTGACCTCATCCCTGAGGTCCCCCGGCAGCTGGTGACTAATTGCTCCCAGCGGCTGGAGCAGGGGCCCTGCAAAGACCTCTTCCAGGAGCTCACCCGGTAAGCCTCTCCCTGCCCACAGGCCTGGAATTGTGTCCTGAGGAGGGGGCTTCTGTGGGCCTGGAAGGCTGTGAACAGCTCAGCAGCTGGGGAGGGAGCTCAGCCTCCCACCCTGGCTTTGCACATGCTGTGTGAGCTTGGACGGGTTGCCTTCCCTCTCTGTGGGCATCTTCAGCTTCTGCGGGGTGCATGCCTCCCGCCTCATTGGGTTAGCAATGCACATAACGGGGTCTGGCCCAACAAGCTGAGAACCTGGGGGTTCAGAGGCTGACCCATGGGCTGGGCCCTCTCAACAGGCTGACACACGAGTACCTGAGCATGGCTCCTTTTGCCGACTACCTCGACAGCATCTACTTCAACCGTTTCCTACAGTGGAAGTGGCTGGAAAGGTGAGTACCTTGAAGGCTGGGCCTTGGTAGGCGAAGTTGCTGGAACTCTCACAGGCCTTGGGCCTCTGCTTAGCCAGTGTTTGCTCTGAAATCCCTTGCCCACAGGCAGCCAGTGACCAAAAACACCTTCAGGCAGTACCGAGTCCTGGGCAAAGGAGGCTTTGGTGAGGTGAGTGGCCAGGCCAGAGCCCCTGATGGAGAGGGGAGGTGGGGTACAGTGGGCCCTGGACCAGCACCCCTTCCCTGAACTCCTATAGCCCCAGAAAGGGCACAGCTGGTCCCTCTTTGCCCATCTACCTTGGCTCCAGGTGTGTGCCTGCCAGGTGCGGGCAACGGGCAAGATGTATGCATGCAAGAAGCTGGAGAAGAAGCGGATCAAGAAGCGGAAAGGGGAGGCCATGGCACTCAATGAGAAGCAAATCCTGGAGAAAGTGAACAGTAGGTTTGTAGTAAGTACAGACAGGAGACCCTTCCCTTGCTCCTGGCCATGCATTTGCCCTGCCCTCCCCACGCCCTGCTAGGTCTCCTCCTGCCCTGCCCATCCCCTCCAGGCACCACCTTACCACCTTCTGAGATGCCTGGAAAGGGTGGGTTTGGGGTGTCGACGCCAGGCCTGGGGAGCAGGCTGGGTCCCAAGGACTGGAACTGAGAAGGATTTTTTGGGTGGCTGGTGCCAGCCTTTTCACGGGGTGGCCGCTGGTGCCTGCTTGAGGGCTCTGGTCCCCTTGACCACAGGTGAGCTTAGCCTATGCCTACGAGACCAAGGACGCGCTGTGCCTGGTGCTGACGCTGATGAATGGAGGCGACCTCAAATTCCACATCTACCACATGGGCCAGGCTGGCTTCCCCGAGGCGCGAGCTGTCTTCTACGCCGCGGAGATCTGCTGCGGCCTGGAGGACCTGCACCGGGAGCGCATCGTGTACAGGTGACGGCCCTGGGCCTGCCCACAGGGGGCGCTGCAGTGGGGGCGCAGGCGGAGGCTGCCAAGGCACACAGGAGCCCGTTTGAGCCCTGCCACACTTGCCCATGCCCAGTGCACTTGACCGCCTCTGGGTCTGGCTCGCTCCCGTGAATGCTGGTGTTGTCACCCCTCTCTTTGTGACCCTGGGTTAGTTGGCTCCCTGCTCTGTATGCTCTTTACTTTTCTGGGAAGCAGAGACTCTTAATTCCTGCCTTGCAGGTGGTTTTAGGGGCCAAATGAGATAACGAGGTAAAGTGCACAAAGCCCGGCGTTGTCAGCGGACAGCTCTGCCTGTCATTACGGGCAGTGATTTCATTTGAACCTCACAATAGCCCCATGAAGGGACAGATGAGTAGCCCCATTGGACAGGAAAGGTAGAGTCAGCCACCAGAGTGGTGGGGGAGGGTGGGACTACATCATCACCAGTGGAGAACAAGGCTCCTGCTGCTGTCCCCCCACGTGGGAGCTGCTCTCCACTTGCCTGGGGACTCCCAGGAAGGGTGGTCCTGACTGGACAGATCCTGGGGCCGCTCCCTCAAGTTGGGGCTGCTGAGAGGGAGGGCAGGGCCGCCTCTCAGCCCAGCAATAAATGGCTCCCGCACCTTCCTGCACATTCCATTCCAGGAGACAAGTGAGCTAGGAGGTGGTGGTGTCAACATCTGACCCTGCCCTTCTCTCCCCACAGGGACCTGAAGCCGGAGAACATCCTACTGGATGACCACGGTGGGTGGGGGGGCCCTCAGAGGTGGGGTGCTATGGAGTAGGGCAGGGTCTGGCTCACTTGCTTCATGCCCCGTCCCCGTCCCGCTTCTCCACCCACATTCAGGCCATATCCGAATCTCTGACCTGGGGCTCGCGGTGCACGTGCCAGAGGGCCAGACCATCAAGGGTCGTGTGGGCACTGTGGGCTACATGGGTGAGTCTCCCTCTGCCCTGACCGCCTTGCCTCTGGGGTCCCCTTGCTGTCCTGGCTGTGCCCCACCACTTCTGTTTGGGAGTCTTCTGTGTCTCGGGGAGTAGAGAGAGCTGATAGCCCTCTTGTATAAATTAGGCCCGAGACTCAGCCAAGGGCCCCCCACACCTGCAGATACGTGTTCATTCACCAGATACTGAGCTCCTGCTCTTGGCTGGGCTTGCCGGTGGCTACCAAGAAGGATGAGAAGGGGCTGAATTTAGCGTCCCCGTCCTGCCCTCTCCTGAACTGCCCAGGTCCTGAGAGGAAGTGCCCATCTGCAGGGCCAAGATGGGCCCCATATTCCCCTTGGAGACCATGAGACACGGCAGACAGAGCCCCAGTTGCAGGGCCCCACCTCTTTTTGTGACGTGTCCTCAGGCCACATACTGCTGCTCCCAGCCCCACTTGGCCCAACTGTAGAGCAGCCATACTGGCTCCCAGAGTGGCCTTGAGGATGCAGAGAGGCAGGAGGGGCAGAGATCCCCATGTGCCCCGCCCGGCAGGTGTAGGTATGCGGCAGGTGAGTCTCTTCTATACTAAATCCCAAGATTGCAAACATAACCACACAGGCCTGATGTGGCTTACATTTGTGTTTAAATCAAAGTGTTTTTAAAACAACTGGAATGGGTTACCAACATATGATAGGCTGGACAGCTTCACGTTAAAAACACAGATTTCTGACTTCTCTTGAAAAGTTGCCAAACCTGGCCTTCTGCAGGGCCACATTGGCCCCTTTTGGTGGGGCAGGGGCCATCCCATGTGCTGATGTCCCTCCCAGGCGGTGCCTGCCGCCGGGCCCTCACTCCTCTTTCCCCCACTGTCCAGCTCCGGAGGTGGTGAAGAACGAACGGTACACATTCAGCCCAGACTGGTGGGCGCTGGGCTGCCTCCTCTATGAGATGATCGCAGGCCAGTCCCCCTTCCAGCAGAGGAAAAAGAAAATCAAACGAGAGGAGGTGGAGCGGTTAGTGAAGGAGGTGCCTGAGGAATACTCTGAGCGCTTTTCCCCACAGGCCCGCTCACTCTGCTCCCAGGTATGGCGGCCATTAGGAGTCAGGCTGGCTAGGCATAGGGATTGTGGGGGGGCGCGGCGGCCTCTCCCGGGCCACCTTGACCGCCCCTGCCCCACTGTAGCTCCTGTGCAAGGACCCCGCTGAGCGCCTGGGGTGTCGTGGAGGTGGTGCCCGTGAAGTGAAGGAACACCCCCTCTTCAAGAAGCTGAACTTCAAGCGGCTGGGAGCTGGCATGCTGGAGCCACCCTTCAAGCCTGACGTTAGTGCTTTCCACTCTTGCTGAGGGCGGGCCGCACTGCACTGGGGCAGGCGGTGGGGGGCTCGGGGTTCAGGGCTCTTGGAGGCACCTTCAGTTTAAGTGTCAGGAAATCCAACCCAAATGGCTTGGCCGACAGGTCAGAATTCAGTGGGCTCTCACAGGTGGAAAGCCTCAGGATTGATCTTGCTTTGGGCATGCCTGGACCTGGGGCTCCAGCAGTGTTGCCAGGGATTCCCTCTTCCTCTCCCCGCCCCCGCTGGACTGGCCAGCGTGCGGTCTTTACTCTCTGGCGGCTCCCTCTAGGGTATGGCAGTGGTAGACCCAGCATTTCAGGTCCACGTCCTACCAGCTCAGCCAGCCCAGGAGACACAGTGTACCTCTTGCCCAATAATTTCAAAAGTAGTCCTAAAACGGGGGAAAATGTCCTAAATCTAGTGCTTATTGCCACTGATTGTTCGGAAGCCCCTCAGCGGCCACACTTGGATCACTTGCCCACCTGACCCACAGCGAGTGGGGGAGGTTGGGTTCCTGATGGAAAACCAACATGCCTGTTGTCAGCAGGGGTCAGGGGCTGAATATCAGCGCCCACCACACCTCGTGGTGCTGATGTTACCCTTGCAGAGTCTCACCCATTTACTGAGTATCTTGGGGGGTTAGGCGTCCCATGGGCAGAGACATCCTCGAGTCATCATATTCCAGGTGGCAGAAGCCCAGCTAAAGCTTCTGTCTGGCATGGAGCTCATTCGTTCATTTGGCCAGAAGGTCATAGCGTCGAGCCCGCATCAGGTTTTAGTGCAGTGTTGGCAGGACTTGATCCCTCGGCTATGCTTCATCCTGTGAATTGTCCTCCCACTGAGTTCAGGCTTCTGTGTGTGAAGTCACAGTCACAGGGGGAATGTTGTGAGTGGCCAGGATGAAGTTATGTGCTTGCCCTCCTCCCATGTGTAAGAGGACTGGGTCCTGGCATTGATGGGTCACTGGCAGGCCAGCCTGATGGCTGTCAGCCACACAGTGACTATTTATTCATTCGGCAAATGTCTAGTGCCCATAAGTGCCAGAGCTTGGAAATAGAGGTCAGCAGGACCCAGTCCTGCCTTCCTGTTGTAGAGGAGAGCATGCCGAAGTAAGAGAAAAAGAATAGCAGCTAATGTCAAAAGGATAAATGCGGCTAAGGGAGAGATAAGGAATGATGGGGGTGGGAGTATTTTTAGACAGGGTGGACCTGATGGTTAAGCAGAAGCCTAAAAATGTGAAGGAGAGAGCTGGGCCGAGTTTTGGGGTGAGAGCATTCCAGGGAGCAGGAGAAGTCTCGAGGGAAAGATCAGCGAGGAGGCCAATGTGGCAGGAGTGAGCGTGGGCTGGGAGAGGCACAGGGTTTTATTCTAAGTGTGACAGGGCCTGGGGGTGGTGGGCGGGGGTTGAGCAGGCAGGCCTGTGAGGGGTTGGGGCAGGGCTAGAGAGGGTGAGTACAAGTGGGAGGCCAGCTAGGAAGAATTGTGCCTTGTTGGCCTTGCCAGCATCCTGGGGTGTGGGCCTTGCTGTGAGTGATTGAACTGAGAGCAGCCTGCCTTGGGGCTGACCCCACAATCAGGTTTCCCCCTGCTTCTGGTGTACATCTTCTCATCTAACTTTGAAATCATCCCGCCACCCCTGAGTCTTCAAAGTTAGAAAATCAGTGCTCTGGACTTTAACTTTTTAGACAGAACAGAGAAGAAGCAAGTTTGATACTGATACTATTTTAATAGCTTTGTTGAGATTTAATGCACATATTATAATTCACTCGTTTTAAGCGTGTGACTGAATGGCTTTTGGCATATGCAGAGTTGTGCAGCCATCACCATAATGATTTTAGAACATTCACATCACCCCTTTCCTCCCACCCAACAAAATGAGTGCCCATTAGCACTCATTCCCCATTTTCCTCTCCCTGTGGCCCTGGCAGTCACTCATCTACTTTCTGTCTCTGTATATTTGCCTGTCCTGGACATTTCATGCAAATGGTGTTACACAATATGTGGTCCTTTGTGACTGGCTTCTTTCACTTAGTGTAATGTTTTCAAGGTTCATCAGTATTGTAGCCTGTACTTTGTTCCTTTTTTTTTTTTTTAAGATTTTATTTGAGAGAGAGAGCACATGAGTGGTGGGGAGGCGCAGAGGGAGAGGGAGAAGCAGACACCCCCCTGAGCAGGAAGCCTAATGTGGAGCCCGATTCCAGCATCCTGGGATCGTGACCTGAGCTGAAGGCAGATGCTTAACTAACTGAGCCACCCAGGCCCCCCAACCCCCTGCCTTTTTAAAAGACTATTTATTTGAGAGAGAGCAAAGCAGGGGAATAGGCAAAGGGAGAGGGAGAAGCAGACTCCCCACTGAGCAGGGGTTCCTTACATGGGACTCGATCATGACCTGAGCTGAAAGCAGACACTTAACTGACTGAGCCACCCAGGTGCCCCTACTTTCTTCTTTTTTATTACTGAATAATACTCCTTTGTTTGAGTATGCCACATTTTGTTTATCAGTGGATGGACACTGGAGTTGTTCCCACTTTGGGCTTATCGTGAATAATTCTTCTACTATGAACATTGGCATGCAAGTGCTGGTGGAGACATATGTTTTCATTTTTCTTGGATATATACCCAGGATGGAACTGCTGGCTAATATGGTAACGCTGCATTTAACCTTTTGGGGAAATGCCAGATTGTTTTCCAAAGCAGCCGTACCATTTTACATGATGTTGTTGTTGTTGTTTTTAAAGAATCTATTTACTTATTTGACAGGCAGAGATCATTTCATTGGGAGAGAGGCAGACAGAGGGGTGGGGGAAGCAGGCTCCCTGCCGATTGTGGGGCTCGATCCCAGGACCCTGGGATCATGACCTGAGCCGAAGGCAGGGGCTTAACCCAGTGAGCCACCCAGGCGCCCCTTTGACGATGTTGTTTTAATTGACATCCTTAATAGTAGAATTTAGAAAACAATGCAAGGATAAAAAAGACACTGGCCTTCTGGAGTGAGGTGGGCTCCCAGGAGGGGCCCTGAGGGTGTGGGGACTTGGGAGGACTGTTCTAATCCTCCAGTTGTCTATGAAGCTTGAGGGGATAGGGCAGGCCATTGGAACATCCTGGGACAGAGGCCCCGTCAGGGCCAGGCCCTGCATGGGGATGCTTAGCTCAGGCAGCTAAGATCCCGCCTGCACTGTACCCCCAGACGGCCGTGTGTGGGTAGAGGGGTGCCTGTCACTGATTCCCTAAGGCACTGCAGGGCTGCTTGGCCGCAGCCAGTCAGCTCCCATCGACAGGAGGCCTTTATGAAGCCTCACCAGTCAGAAGCAATGAGGGTTAATAACCCCCAGTTTACAGAGTGGAAAAGACCTCAACGAGAAGGGACTGCCGTGCTTAGCAAGTGCACGGGGCACCTAGTTTCTGACTCCAAATCCGAGAGCTGCAAGGGTTGGGGCACAGCCAGGCCAAGGCTCGGGTGACTTTCAGGGCTGAGCTGCCCGTGTGCATGTAGGTGGGCAAGCATATGCGTGTGCCTGCCTGTGAGTGTCTTGCTTCCGTCTGACCGCTGTTTCGGTCCCCACCAGCCCCAGGCCATTTACTGCAAGGATGTTCTGGACATCGAACAGTTTTCCACAGTGAAGGGCGTGGAGCTGGAGCCCACTGACCAGGACTTCTACCAGAAGTTTGCCACGGGCAGTGTGCCCATCCCCTGGCAGAATGAGGTAAGGAGCTGCCCAGCTGGTGGGCTGGGCTCCAGAGCAGAGGCTCGGAGCTGGCTCTCACTGCTGCCTGTGCTTGGGCAGATGGTGGAGACGGAGTGCTTCCAGGAGCTGAATGTCTTTGGGCTCGATGGCTCAGTTCCCCCAGACTTGGACTGGAAGGGTCAGCCCCCTGCGCCCCCCAAAAAGGGACTGCTGCAGAGACTCTTCAGCCGTCAGGTAAGCCCCAGTGGCATCCCGGCCTGGCCCCTCGCCTAGCTCCAGGGGACGGTGGGCGGGAGGCAGAGCTGGTGCCCGCGCGTGCTGGGAGTGGGCCTCTTCCAACCTCGCCACGTGTGCCCAGGGTCTCTGGCCTCATTCCCGCCTGTCCCCTACCCCTGGCTGGGCTCACGGCCTCTTTTCTCTTTCCAGAGGTGAGCAGTGTGGGCTCCCCGTGGGTTGGCCTTGCTGCTGGGCCTCGGGGAGCCACGGGCAGCCCTTCCATGGCAGAGGCGAGATGTGGGCGAAAGAAGTCTGGTGCCCGCTCCCCCCCTTCCCCCAACTACTTCGTTCCCTGCACCCTGGCACCTTCAAGCTGCTGGCCTTGCTTAGCCATCTGTCTCCCCATGCTCTGCCTCCACCATCTCTGGGGGAGAGGGTGTGGACAGGGCCTTGCTCTGGCGAAGCCCGAGATCCGCCCGGACCCTCTTACTTCAGCCTGCTGTCAGTATCCTCTGCGCTGATGTCCACACATGTCTGGCCTGAGCTGCTGCTCCAGGCCCCTCGCAGGGAGCCCCCAGCCCAGAGCATGGCTCCAGGCAGCTCCTGGCAGGGCTGGCCTGGGTAGTAGCACTGGTGGCTAATGGCACTCGCTCTGCCTCTCTCCCTCCGTGTCTTCCCCATCCCTCCAGGATTGCTGTGGGAACTGCAGCGACAGTGAGGAAGAGCTCCCCACCCGCCTCGAGCTCCCCACCCGCCTCTAGCCCCCAGCCTGAGGCCCCCACCGGTGGTTGGCGGTAGCAGCTACTCCGAGCGCTGTTTACAGTTTTGCACAGTGGTCTTCCCCATTGCCCACGCGAGTTGTGGCCTGGGGAACACAGCCGGAGCTGTCCCCAGTGTCCTCTGCCCCTCAGCCCCTGGTCTGGCTGGGTTCGGGCAAGGCCTGGGCTGTCCCTGGGACAAAGGTGCGTCCCTTCAGCTCTTGTCTGTGGAGCTTGGGGCTTTCTGTATTTATGTATTTGTACGAATGTATATAGCAACCAGAGCGTTCTTAAGACCCACCCTGGAGCTGGCAGAGGGGCCACTGCCAAACTCAAGGCTCCTTGGGCCCAGCTTGGACAGGCCGAGACTGGGCCAGACAAGGCCCTTGAGCCCCCAGCACTGTGCTCGCCACCGCCGACCTCCGAGTGAGACTCATGCCTGCCTCTGCCGCCCTGGGCTCGGGCCACCACCTCTTGGGGTCCATTGTTGTCCCTTCTCAGCACTTGTCAAAGCTGGATCTGGGGCCTCTGTATCCCCTAGGCCTGTGCCAAAGTGTGACCAGAGATTGGGCTGACCCTGGGACCCATCAGTCCACTGCCCAGGCTGTCCCAGATGGATCTGCCTCTGCCTTCCAGCTCCCAGGGTGCCTCGTCCCTCATGCTGGGCCCTGTCCTGAAGACACCTCTTGTAGAAACGCCCCAGCCCAGGCCGTGGGAAGGGGGAAGGATGTTGTCCCTGGCCAACTCTCAAACATTCCAGACTCCCCTCTTAACAGTAGACACATGTGCCCAGCAATAATCCATCCCTCCCTGTGTGTGCCTGTGGGGTGTGTATGTGAGTGTGTGCGTGTATGTGAAGGGGATTGGCCGAGGTGTGTGTGTGCCTGCACCCCAGGCCCCAATTCTGGTCCTTCCCAGGTGGTAATGGCCATCCTGGTCCCAGTGTTAGGGTAGCATGGGATTATAGGGCCCTGGTTTTTCCGTATTTAAAGCCAATTTTTATTACTCATTTTGTCCAATGTAAGCTGCCACGTGTCTCTGAGTGAATACAGTCGAGCACAAACCTGGCCAGCTGCCCTGCCTGCCTCTTTCTTGCTCCTGGTGTTCCAGGGGTCTTTCTGCTTCCCTCGCCCCGCTGGAAGTGGGAAGGGACCAGAGGTGGGCCTGGTGGGACTACCCTTCCAACATGCCCTGGACCCCCTCCCCCCGCCCCTGAAGCTGATCTTGGACTAGCCTCTCCAGGCGGCCAGGCCTCAGTGGCCTTTGGGCTCACCAGTGAGTTTCTCAGCTTCCTAAATGGGATGAGGCCTGAGGGAAGAAGCCTTGGGTCCCCACTAGGGTGAGAGTTTGGCTCTACCTGGACTGGGGAGGCAGGTTTAGCTGGAAGGGTCCCCTCCATGGCCAGGGTGGTCTGGTGACCAGCTGTGGGCTTGGAGTAGCCTGGGGAGCAAGGTGGAAGCTGCTGTTAGAAACATCCGCCAATGCTGTCCTACCCGGACACCTGTTGTGTGTGCAGCCCAGGGCCAGCGAACTAGAGCCATCCCTCAGCCCTGGAAGCAGGAAATGTGGCGGGCAGAGGTGAGACAGTGGTGATGCTGGGAGTTAGGCTGTGGCAAGTGTGGGTGGGGACCAGCCATGAGGGCATTAGGCAGGGTTCTCTGAAAAGCTGAGCCAGTTCTTAAAGGAGACTTATTCACCTGGGGGCAGAGGGATTGGGGAACATTCCATAGCATTCCACCTATGCAGGGAAGGAGAGGGCAGTCTTGACAAGTCTGCCGCAGACTTCATAGATCTGTTGCCATACCATAGTCTCCCAGTGCTCCCAGTCCTCTAAGGATGCTTTGTAACCACAGTAAGGGTTTGTTCCTTGCCTGTGGGCTGGGACCAGTGCCACAGGTCCACATGCGGTCAGACAGTTTTGGGTTCAAGTCAGCCAGGCCACTTTTCAAGCTGGCTTTACATAGGCCCTTCCCTTGTCTAGAAAAATGGGTGTGATACCCATCCCCTCTCAGGGCAGCTGTGAAATGAGAATCTGTGAAAGCAGCCTATCACCTCCTTTTGCCCCTGGGTCACTGACAGGACTGTTGCCAATTAGGGGAGTGGGTGCTGGATGCCAGGCTGACAGCCATCTCAAGGGCATCCAGAAAGTTCTAAGCACTGACTTAGTGTGGAAGGGGCCTCTCTGGTGGTGGCCCACTTCTTGATGGTCTGTGGAGCGGGTGCTGCTGCTTCCGTTAACTTGAGGGAAACGGGAGAGGGCCATGCCCAAGGTCTTCCAGCTGGTTAGCCGTTGTTGCACAGTGGCAAGGAAGCCAGCCGAAGGTGAAGTTGGATCCTACTCATGATGTGTGAAGTTGGGGCCTGAGGTGCATTTGCCCTTCTATTTTGGTGGGAGGGCAGTTAGGTTATCAGTTGGCTGAAGCCCAGCCCTGAGCAGGTGTATAAGGGCAAGTGGGTACCAGTTGGACCAGTAGGTCCCTGGAGCACTCTGCAGATGGGTCAAGACCTCCCTCCAAGCTCCCCCCTTGGGCTAGAGAGGCATCCAGGGAACTTGTTGGCTACAGTTCAACTCACCATAAAGCTCTTGGCACAGTGACTCCAGCTCTGTGGTGGGAGCTAGGGACCCAGATGGAGACAAGGGCCCCACCAGTTTGGAGCTCAGCCTGGTAGGGAGACGGAAATTGGAACAGTTTAAGACCCAGAGTGATCGGCACTGTGGCGGAGATGGTTCTAGAGCTGGCAGGGCTGGGAATGCTAAGTGGCTGGGGCTGGGGGTCAACACCAAGCAGGGAGGCCTCTTGGAACAAAAGTCTCAGAATTGGTGCCCTCCAGGACACAGAACCAGATGTACCTGGTTGGAGGAGCCATATGGATGGTCTAGGACCTCCTAGATGGCTAGATGGCTTAGGATGGCTTGAGGTGGAGTGGGTGGTTATGGGTGGGTAAAGGAAGCAACTGGAGCCAAAGTCCATGAGCGCCATGCAGGGCTCTGAAAGCCATGTTGAGGATGTGGGGCCTCATCTAGAAGGCAGGGGCAGCCCTAGAGGATTTCAGCTAGTTGTGTTGGGAAGTCTGCCTAGGATGTACAAAAAGCACCCCATGTTTACTTTGGGAAACCTGTCTTAGTCCATGTGGTTTCAATGGGGCTGGGTTTGCACCCCCTGCACACATAGACACCTAGAGTGTGTGACCCAGGTGAGGCTGTTAGAGATCTTTGGTTGCAAGTGACAGAACGGTCCTCCAACTAACAGAGTGTTAAAAGGATATGGGGGAACATGAAGAACCAGGACTGGGACTGGGGCACCCCAGGGTCTTAGTCACAGACCCCATTCTCATCAGGATACGATCCCCAGAAGCAAGATGCAACAGCCATGTCCATGTCTGCATTGTTGAGCTGGACTGCAAACCCAAGGAGCCCAAAAGTCCCAGCAGGAAATCTCACTGTACACTCAGGGAGAAGGACCCTTGGGTTCAAGGGCCCAGCCTGATGACACCCATGGCATGCAGTCAGCCCCCCTGATGAAATAGGGTGCTTATACCCAACAAAAAGGAAATGGGTACTGGGTGGCTGGACATATATCCCCTCAACTAGGCATGACCAACTGGATTTGTTCACCAATGGACACTAAGCCAAAGAGTCTTTTGGAGGGCTTGCTAGAACTATTGGGAAAGAATTGGGGTTGGGTGGCAGGATATACACCAAGAGCTGTGGGGTCATTCTTGCCACCACCTGGGAATTTTCAAGAATGATGCAAACAGAAGAATGCAGAGTGGAGAGAACAGTTACATGTCTGATACCATTGTTGGGACACCTGGAACCAATTGTAATCACAGCTAAAATCTGCCTCTGGACTTTCCAGTTAGATGAGTCAAACACCTCTGGGCTCAAACCTATTTGTTTTGGGGTTCTGTCACTTGCAAATCAAAGTGTCCTAGCTGATATGATGGTGGAGGGTGTTTTTGGAAGATCACCGTAAGTGTGACAGAGAAGTTGGACCGTAAACAACCCAATTAAGAGAGACTGATGAACCTCCAGGTTTAGACTCCCCCTAAACAGTGGGGCCCTTACTAGGCCTCACCGCTATTCCTTGGGGATGAGTGGGGTCCATGAAGACCAGGGCTGTGTTCTTCCTGTGCCACTTTTTAGTAGACATGTGGTGATGTATGTTCTCTGGGGACACACTGGGAGGGGCTGTGAGTTGGGAGGGGACTGTGTATTGGTAAGCTGGAATGACACTGGGGGGCCTGCCTGCTCCAACCCTTGCCCAGCACATGTGTGCAGTGCCTCTCAGGATGTGGCCGGGGCGTGGACGTGTGTGTGTTTTCCGGGTTGAAGAGAGAGAGAGAGAGAGAGAGAGAGAGAGAGAGAGAGAGAGAGAGAGAGAGTGTGTGTGTGTGTGTGTGTGTGTCAGGGTCCTTGACCTCGGCTGTTTGGCTTGAGCATCCTGTGTGCTCAGCCAACTGTGTACACCCTGTCTGCCTGCGTGCGCCCCGTTCCGGACAGCCTGCTGCCAGGAGCTGTGGCGCGTGCTTTCCCTGTGCAGGGTGAGCCCGGCGCCCCGCGTGCGAGTCTCCACGCGGCAGGTGGGTGCCAGGTCCTCCGCCTCCGGCTCCCAGGACAGCCTCCTCGGCGGCGAGTGGCTGGGGGTGGGGGCCCTCTGTCGGCTGCCGCGCGCGCGCGCACGCCGGGCTGGTACGCGCCGTGTACGCGCCCGTGCGCGCGCCCCACGGCTCCAGCCCAGCGCTCGCAGCCGCCTTCGTGCCACAGCCAGCTGCCCGGTGCCGCCGCCGCCTCCCCCACGGCCGGGGGCTCTGTCCGCGGAGCCCGCGCCACTTGCCCCGAGCCAGGAGGACGAGCTCGAGGAGGATGCCTGGGCCCGTGAGTACCGCGGCGGCGGCAGGCCGGGCGGGCCCGGAGCGCGGGAGGAAGATGATTCCGGGCTGAGCCCCTCCCCGCGGGCAGCTCCGCGCTCTGGCCCTCGGTCGCCGCCCCGGACCCCCGCCCCGGCCAGCCCCTCCCCCAGCCCACTCCGGAGGTAGGGAGGGAGGGAGGGAGGGAGAGAGAGGGAGGGCGCCAGAGCGAGGGAGCCAAAGCCGGGCGCGAGCCGCCACCGGTTCGCTTGGAAACGGTTGCCACAGCAACGGGGTTGCGCTCCCCAGCAACGCGGCTGCGGGGCGGCGACGCCCCCTCCCACCCCTCCCCCACCCCAAACGGGTCCGCAGCCTAGGGGCGCAGGGGAAGAGGGGGTGCGGGGACTACCCCTGGAGCGGTGGGGGTAACTTTGCCAGTCTGGGTGTGCCTGCCTCCACAGCTCGTCGAAGATGGGGGTGGGGGGTGAGCGGCCCCGTGGGCACGAGCTGGCTCCCACGTGGCTGCAGTCGTCGCAGCAGGGCTCCTGGGGTGGCTGCAAACGTGGGGGCGGCCCAGCCCCTGGGCCTGCCTCGGGAGGAGGAGGCTTGGAGGCTGGAGTCTGCGCTCCAGCACCCCCACCACCTCTACCACCTCTCGCCTGCGAAATAGCCTGACCCGAGTTGGGTGCCACAGAGGCGATGTTCCTTACCCGGGGAGAAGAAAGAAGCTCACATCCTCCTCCTCATGGCCAGGGCATATGTCAGACCGCGGCTAGGGCCGGTTGTGGGTTTCTGCTCCGTGTTCCAAGCCACCATTCTCCTGGGAGTGGTGGGAGCAGAGTGGGCAGGAGCAGAGGAAAGGACATTGCTGACCCAGGGAAGATGAAGCTCAGGCCAATGGGAGCGCCCCGGCCCATTGTCTGGATCACAAGTGTCCCTTTCTTGTCTGAGCACAAAGCCCAGACTGTACTGGGTGGCATGCAGGTTGGCTGGCAGGCAGGCCAGTGCCACATGGAGATGCTCTGTCCTCCAGGGGAGCTCCTCTGGGAGGAGAATGGCCGCTGAGTCAGAGGAAATGACCTCTGGCTCCTCTCCCAACCTCCCCCAGCCGGCAATGGCAGAGTGCTGGGGAGAGAAATGGTCCTCCTGCCAGCTCTCCCAGACCTGACTCAGCAGACGCCCGCCTCCAATCGTAGACCTTGCACTCAACATCCCA